ACTATTTTTTTTTTTTTTTTTTTTTTTTTTTTTTTAATGTATCTTTATTGATTTCAGAGAGAGGAAGGGAGAGGGAAGAGAGAGAGAGAAACATCAATGATGAGAAAGTCGTTACTGGTCAGCTGCCTCCTGCACGCCCCCGACTGGGGTTCAAGCCCACAACCCCGGGCACGTGCCCTGACCAGGAATTGAACCTCGATCTTCTGGATCCTCGGTCAATGCTCAACTGCTGAGCCACACCCAGCTGGGCGCACTGTTTCTTATTTAATTTATTTCCATTTTAAGCCCTGGAACAAATTTGCCACCTCTATTTACAGATGAGTCTTTCTGCTAAATTATTTGAAATTGCATTATGTCAGCCTTTATTTGAGCAAGTTAGTTGGTACTTTCTTATAACATCAGACAACACGTCTAACCCAGGTAATCAACAAACACATGCATTCATTGATTTACTCATTCATTCATGCATTCATTCTTTTTTATTCTATCATGATTATTTGTCATAAAGAAATCAGGGTATAGTTGTACCTAGGTGTAATGTGTTTTGAGTTCTCTGCAGATGAGATATACCTTTGAGAGGCAAAAAGTAATTTTAGGTATGTTTATAGATCTCTGCTGGAATAGTACTATTATTAATATTTTACTTCCTTCATAAAATACTAGGCCTTACTTCAGACTCATGACGTAGTGGCACATGAAGTTTACAGTGATGAAGCATTGAGAGTCACACCTCCTCCCACCTCTCCCTACTTAAATGGTGATTCTCCAGAGAGCGCCAACGGAGACATGGATATGGAGAACGTGACCAGAGTTCGGCTGGTTCAGTTCCAAAAGAACACAGATGAACCAATGGTAAGTAAGAAAAGGAGGTTTTCTGTACTCTCATAAAATGCCAGCATGAGTTAGAGCACCTAACTTCAACCTGTATTACCAGGAGATGGAGAGAGAAGTAGGGCATGGATAGTGTTAAAAAAAAATCAGTTTCCAGATCCTCATTTCACCACAGGCCCCCCACTGCTGCCTAGAATTGTGCTGACATTATGCCTAAGGCAGGTTGGTTCTCCTTTCCACCTCTTCTTTCACAGTTGCTCTTCAACTTTACAAAAACAAAACAAAACAAAACGAAAAAGCATACCTGATACATGACTCCAGAGTGTGAAAACCTCTGGGCAGCAAAAAAAGGGACAATTTGAAATCTTGCCATTGGTGTTGAAAAAGTGAATGTCTAATAACATTGTTAAAAAACATCCTTTTAAATAAGTCTCATGGTTTCCAGATCTTCTAATTAAGATGAGTAATTTGGAATGCATTCAAAGAATTAAATAATGTTGCTAAAATAAAATGGACTATGCAGTTACTTCCAAAGAATCCTACCCATGGAAGGAATTCCATTCACATCTACCTATTTAATATGAATTAATTTTCGCAATGCTTAGAAATAGCATTGAAATGGAATCGATGCTGACCCCTACCTCATTCTCATAGAATTGACATGGATTAGGAAGATCAAAGAAAGGTTCCTTGGTGTTGACCAAACGAAAGTGGGACCCAGGGTGGATAGGGCAGAGTAGAGAACATCCAGGCAAACCAAGTAGCATGTGCAGAAACCTGGAAGTAAAAAGGCTCTTAGCATAGTTTCAAAATGGAAAGAAGAAACCACAACTGGACTATAGAAAACAAAGTGAGCCCAGCCAGCATGGCTCAGTGGTTGAACATCAACCTAGGATCCAGGAGGTCGCAGTTCGATTCTCCGTGAGGGCACATTCCCTGGGTTGTGGGCTTGACCCCCAGTGGGGGCGTTCAGGAGGCAGCCGATCAATGACTCTCTCATCATTGATGTTTCTATCTCTCTCTCTCCCTCCCCCTTCCTCTCTCTGAAATCAATAAAAACATATTTTTAAAAAAAAAGAAAGAAAACAAGGTGAGTGGCAGGAACCGGAGCACACAAGTGTTGAAAGACATGTTAAGGATTCTGCTCTTTATCTTTAAAACATTAGGAAACTATTGAAGAGTTTTAAGCATGGTGATAAAAGCAGATTTTCATTTGAGAAATCATCATTCTGGAAAATGGATTAGAGGAGGACAAAATAGGGTATGGAGCCCGGCCGGGCGTGGCACAGCGGTTGAGCATCAACCTAGGATCCAGGCGATCGGGGTTCGATTCCCAGTCAGGGCACATGCCCGGGTTGCAGGCTAGGCAGCTGGTCAATCACTCTCTCGTCATTGATGTTTCTCTCTCTCTCTCTCCCTCTCCTTTCCTCTTTCTGAAATCAATAAAGATATATTAAAAAAAAAAAAAAAGATAGGGTATGAAGAGGCCAGTTAAGAGGCCATTATTATACTAATACAGGGGAGAAATCATGGAGCTGTGAACTAGAAGGATGGATATCAAATGGAGAGAAGTAAAAAGATCTAACAAAAGAGTCAAATGAATAGACCTCAATAATGGATTCACAATGGAGATGAGGGAAGGGAGAAGCAAGTGTTGAGGATGACCCTAAACTTTAGGTTTTCACATCTGGGTAGACGATGATGCTACCTTACTGAGACGGAATATTGGGAAAGTTCCAAGTTTGGGGGAGGAATCATATCTGCAGGGGAAAACTTTAAATTTAATGCATTCGTATCTTTTCTTCAGAGCACAAAAAAGGGATATTGGGATATATAGAGAAAAACAAATTATCTTCTTAAGAAAGCTGCCCGGTAGCTCTACAAATTAAAGAAAGAGTTACAGAGCAGTGATTTTATGACTGCAATTTCCAGAGAGCCCTCAACTGTAGACACTTCAGCTTGTAATTCTCATTTACTATTCTTTGCCAGTTTTACTATATTATCCCAGCACTTGCAGCAGGCAAAGGACATGTGAATTACCTCACCCCTTCTGGTGCTCTCCAAGCAACTCTTTGACTTAAGAGTATGAGCAATAGCAGCTTTGGGGGACCTTGGACAAATCATTTCATGTCAGTGGGCCTCAGTTTGCTCATATGTTTGCTTTGCAAATATTGCCAAAAGCATACTTGACTAACTGATCCCCAAGATCCCACCCACCTCTGAAAGTCTAATATTCCATTCATTCATTTATATATCTATTCACTCATTTAGAAAATATTTGTTAAGTGCCTACTATGTGCAGATAAGTATATTAGATGCCTCTGGCATAGTGGCAAATAAGACACTGACCCTTTCCAGAGGTCATTTTCCACAGGGATGCCTACACTGAACAAGCAGATATGCAGTTTAGCACAGTTTGTTTACCAAGAACAGTGATGACAGAGCTGTAGAGGAGAGAAGGCTGTGTCAGAGAGGCAGGAAAAAGGGGTGATGAGCCAAGCAAAGGAGACAGGAAGATGAAATTAACCACAAGAAGGTCGCCCAGAGTGTCTTGTGATCATCATGTTCTAAAGCAGCCAGGTGACAGTTGCTTGGTCTTTTATATGAAGGCTGACGACATAGAAACAGACTGAGTAAAAGTATGAAACTGCATTCTCAGGTTACTTTTTTCGGAAAGTATAAAATGGCCTTGAATCCCCCCTAAAAGTCTCCTTAGAGAAGCCATTCTCTCTTCTGTCTTCTATGATCCTAGTGAAAGTATATGTATTTATTCTCTTGTTGACCGGTTGCCATAAAAATGGGAATTATTTTATGGAAAGTACTATAGTTCTCTATTAAATTTAATACAGCTTCATTTGCTTGCTTAGCTGTCTTTTTTTATTCATGTTGAAAATATTACAGATGTCCTCTTTTTACCCCCATTGATCCCCTCCACCCCGCATCCACCCCAACTTTAGGCCTTCCCCAGACCAATGTCTGTGTCGATGGGTTATGCTTATAAACATATAAGTTCTTTGATTAATCTCTCCTCACCCACTCCCCCCTCCTCACCTTCCCTCTGAGATCCCTCAGCCTGTTCCATGCTTCTATGTCTCTGGATCCACTTTGTTCATCAGTTTAGTTTGTTTATTACATTCCATATATAAGCGAGATCATGTGGTACTTATCTTTCTCTGACTGGCTTATTTCACTTAGCATTATTCTCTCTGGTTCCCTCCATGCTGTCCCAAAGGATAAACGATCCTTCTTTTTATAGCTGCATAGTATTCCATGCTGTAAATGTGCCACAGCTTTTTTATCCACTCATCAACCGATTGGCACTTGGGCTGTTTCCAGATCTTAGCTATTGTAAATTGTGCTGCTATGAACATAGGGGTGCATGAGTTCTTTGTTATTGGTGTTTCGGGTTTCTTGGGATACATTCCCAGAAGGGGGATCAGTGGGTCACATGGCACGTCAATTTTTAATTTTTTGAGGAAATTCCATACTGCTTTCCACAGTGGCTGCCCCAGTCTGCAGTCCCACCAGCAATGTAGTAGGGTTCTCTTTTCTCCACACCCTCCCCAGCACTTGTCCTTCGTTGACTTGTTGATGGAGCCATTCTGACAGGTGTGAAGTGATACCTCATTGTGGTTTTAATTTGCACCTCTGTTATGATTAGTGACATTGAGCATTTTTTCATATGTCTCTTGGCCATCTCTATGTCCTCTTTGGAGAAGTGTCTATTTAGGTCCTTTGCCCATTTTTTAATTGGATTGTTTTCCTTTTGTTAAGTTGTATGAGAGTTCTATATATATTTTGGATTTTAACCCTTTGTCAGATGTATCATTGGCAAACATGTTCTCCCATACAGTGGGCTCCCTTTTCATTTTGTTGATGGTTTCTTCTGCTGTGCAGAAGCTTTTTATTTTGATGCAGTCCCATTTGTTTATTTTCTCCTTGGNTTTTCTCCTTTGTTTCCCTTGCCCTGGGAGATGTATCAGCAAACATATTGCTACAAGAGATGTCTGAGGTTTTGCTGACTGTTTTCCTCTAGGATTTTTATGGTTTCATGCCTTACATTTAAGTCTTTTATCCATTTTGAATTTAGTTTTGTGTATGGTGTAAGTTGGTGGTCCAGTTTCATTTTTTTGCATGTATCTGTCCAATTTTTCCAACACCATTTATTGAAAAGACTGTCTTTACTCCATTGTATGTTCTTGCCTCCTTTGTCAAATATTAATTGAGCATAATGGCATGGGTCAATTTCTGGGTTCTCTGTTCTGTTCCACTGATCTATATGTCTGTTCTTGTGCCAGTACCAGGCTGTCTTGATGACAGTAGTTTTGAAGTATAACTTGATATCTAGTATTGTGATCCCTCCAACTTTGTTCATCTTTCTCAAGATTGCTGTGGCTATTTGGGGTGTTTTTTGTTTCCATATAAATTTTCAAAGTGTTTGTTCTAGATCTGTGAAATATGCTCTTGGTATTTTAATAGAGATTGCATTGAATTTATAGATTGCTTTGGGTAGTATGGACATTTTAATGATGTTAATTCTTCCAATCCATTAACATCGTATATTTTTCCATTTGTTTATATGTTCCTCTATTTCTTTTTTCAGTGTCCTATAGTTTTCCGAGTACAGGTCATTTACATCCTTGGTTAAGTTTATTCCTAGATATCTTAACTTTTTAGTTGCAATGGTAAATGGGATTGTCTTTTTAGTTTCTCTTTCTGAGAGTTCATTATTGGTGTATAAAATGCCATCGATTTCTGGGTGTTAATTTTGTATCCTGCTACCTTGCTGAATTCGTTTATTAAATCTAGTAGTTTTTTGGTAGAGTCTAGGCTTTTCTATGTCCAATATCATGTCATTGGCAAATAATGACAGTTTTGTTTCCTTTTTTCCAATTTGGATTCCTTTTATGTTTTCTTCTTGTCTGATCACTGTGGCTAGGACTTCCAGTAGTATGTTGAATAAGAGTGGTCAAAGTGGACACCCCTGTCTTGTTCCTGTTCTTAGGGGAAATGGTTTTAGT